CAGGCAGCCACTGAGGATGACGTACGTGCCCCCCCACGGCCCCGGGCAGGTGGCAGAGCAGGAGGCCAGGCTGGGTTTCCTCCTCCAGGGCCCCTCAACTTCTCCCTCACCCTGCCCTCAGCACCTTCACCCCTTCTCCCCACCGGCTCCCGGCTCCCTGCACTGACCTGGCCTCGGGCAGGCCTTGTCTCCTGGTCTGGAAGGAGGAGCGGAGTGGCGGATAGATTGGATGCGGGAGGGAGCAGAGTATTCCTCCCGCACGTGCCCCTGGTCCTTCGTCCATTCTGCGTATGTGGGTCGAGGGCCAGACGTTGGCCAGGCCCAATGCCGGGTATTGCTGGTGGTAGAGGTGATGCTGGTGGAAAGGGTCCCCATGGGATTTTCTGAGGTTTTCTTCTCACCCCTCCCCCTGCCCTCTTTTGTCACCTGCATCAGATCCCCTCACTGGCCTGGCCACAAAGCCTGGGGTTTTCTCTTTCCTTTTCTTTTTTTTTTTAATCCTCATGCTTAGAGGAAGGGGGAGAGAGACAGGGACAGAGAAACAGAGGGAGGAGAAAGAATGCTCAGAGAGGAAGGGGGAGAGAAAGAGAGAAGCATCGATCAGTTGCCTTCTGTAAATGCCCCAACTGGGGATCGAACCCACAACCTGGGTGTGCGCCCTGACAGGAATTGAACCATACACAGGACGATGCTCCAACCAACTGAGCCACTCCAGCCAGTCAAGCCTTGGGCTTTTTCTCTGACTTCCTTCCTCCGCTGCTAACAGTCTCTCCACACTGTGTTCCCTTCCATCTTCCTCCCTTTTCTCCTGGAGACTTCCCCTAAGGAGCCCCAGTAAAACCCGGAGAGGGCCCCTAGAATATCCTCCTTGCTTCTCCTCCTCCTCCCTGCCACCCTCCTTCCCTGTGAATTCTCTGCTCAGCTCTCCTCTGAGATCTGCCAGCCGCCCTCCAGTCTGACCCGCCTGGCCCATTCCTGGTCAGACAGTACTGAATGCTGGCCTCTCTTGAGGATTTCTGACTTAATCCTCACAGCCACCCCGCGGAGAAGGTACTCTTTGTCTTTCCATTCTCTGGATGAGGAAGCCAGGCCCCCAGCAGTGAAGTCCCAAGTCCCAGCCAGTGAGTGGCAGGGCAGAGTTGGGGTCTGAAACCGAGCAGGTGGACCTCAGAGCCCTAATTCTTGCTATGTCCTGAGCCCTTCCTGAGTGTTTGTGGTCCTGATAACCTCCTGTGTGTGTCCGTTTTCATCCTCGTACGTGTGCATGTGTGCGTCTTTAATCTCCTTTCTGTTGTTTAACCTGATAAGGGAACCGAGGCCCAGAGGCGTTCAGGCTGCTGCCTGAGAATGCCCAGCACACACTCCCAGGCTTCTGCGAGCGCCACCACTGGCCTAGAGACCCTGCTGCACCTGGGCCAGATCCCGAACTGCCTCTGCAGCTTTCCTCCGGCTGACTTCATCCAAACCACACCTTTTTGTCTCTGCCCCAGGTTTTGCTCCACTCAGGTTCTAGGAGCAAACATGGCTTGGCGTTGGCTCAGACCCCAGTCCTTCCTGGTTTCGTATGTGTGTCATGGGTCTCTTGATGCCAGCAGAGGGCAGCCCCTTAGCCAAGGGCCAGAATTGCATCCCAGCTTTCCTCGCTTTGTGGCTGCACCAAGCCTCTGGTCAGGCCGCCCCCGCCCACCATTCTCCATGGCCAGGCTCGCTTGCTCTCGTATCGTTCTCTGCCCCAAGGCTCATCATGCTGCCATGCTTCACCTTGTGCCAGGCCTGGTTCTGCAATTGACTCTCCAAGTCCTGGGCCGAACGCTGAGACTGGGTACTGGTGTGGGTCTGGGGCTCTGGTCATTTGGGGGAAAGCCCTGAGAGGAAGAGGAGACGGTGTGTTTGTGCGTGCGCATCACCGATGGCCCCTCGGGGCCTGGAGGCCTCCAGCCGGCCTCAGCTACCCAGCAGCCCCCTGTGCTGAGCCGGCCCCAATCTGTATCTCCCCTTACAGATCCGTGGTCAGCTGCAGTCCCATGGCATCCAAGCGCGCGAGGTCCGGCTGATGAGGAACAAATCCTCAGGTGAGCTTTCGTTCCAGTGCCTCCCCCTGCTGCTGGCCAGCCTCCGCCACCAGTCTCCTCCTGCCTCTGCCTCCTCCGCACCCTCCCTCCCCTGCCTTCCTACCACAGCTGGGGATGGGCAGCTTGGGGTCCCCTTCTTGTTCTCTCCCCTTCGTCCCGCTCTCCTCACAGCTCTGGCCAGCAGTCTCTTTGGAGGGGCTGCTGGGGAGGAGGTGCAGCTCTGAGCCGAGCTGAGTACTCCCCAGGGGCAGGGCCAGGGCCAGGCTCCGGGGAACCTCCTCTCTGGGACTCTGAGTATCTGAGATGGTAACCACCTCCCAATATACCCCCTCCCCTCTCCGTTCTTCTCCTTTCCCTGCCCTCACTCTCCCCACCCCCCACCAACATTTTTCTGGTAACGGCCTCTGACCAGAAAGTAGGTCTGGCATGGCCCCACCCATGTATCCCAAGAGGGGAGGCAGGGGGTGGCTCTCACCCCAGGGCTCATCCCAAGGAGCAGCCAGAATTTCTGGCCCACCTGTCCCCTCCCTCCCTCTTGCAGGCTGCTTGGAGCTGGCCTGAGGGTAGTCGGGGGTTTTGGGGGGAGCTGTCTCTACAGGATCTCTGGCCCAGGCTCCCCAAGGCAGGCACAGTGGGGCCTCACTCTGCCTGGGCTTCTCTCTCCATCTCAGTCTCTCTCCTCCCCATGCCTTCATATCTCTATCTATCTATCTATCTATCTCACTATGTGTCTCTCTCTCTCTCTCTCTCTCTCTCTCTCATCATACCATTCCATCCTCCTGTGCATCCTAATAGTTCTTCTTTTGGAGATAAAGCATGCACCCCCCAAGCCCCGCCACATCTCCGCCCTCCCTGTGTACACCTCTGAAGGTACAGCTGCTTCCTGCAGCCTCAAGGCCCGGGTTCCTTTCCTAGCCCTGGCCAGGCCTGGAGTCTCCCTTAATAGCCTGCAGTCTTGCTCTACTTCACCCTGGCCCAGCCACGTGCTATTAAGATTCTGGTCTCTGCCCACAGTAGTGCCCCAGGTGCAGCCTCCTCTGGCCCTGTGCACATCTCCCAGACACCCACTGATTCTTGAAGGCCTGCCTGGCTGATCCCGGCCCCCGTTCTCCTGTTGTCTAGGAGGACCTGGGTGGTGGGCGGCTATACTCTTCCCACTGGGCCCACCTCCCATGTACTGTGGTAAGGCTGAGGTGACATTACCTCCCTAACCCTCCAGGTTCCTGATGGGCCTGGATCCTTCCCAGCCTCACCGAGCAGCTCGACCCAGCTTTCCTTTGGCTCCTTCGATTCAACACCGACTACAGGGCCCCTCCTGGGCTCCCCTGGCCTTGTGCTGGGCCCTGCCCATCTGTCATTGATTCTGGCCCATGTGGAGCCAGCAGCCTGCCCACCTGCCCTCCTTCCTTCTCTGGAGACAGATCTCTACTCGTACCCTTTCCCTCCCAGCTCCCTCTCTCCGTCTCTGTCACCCCGGGCTGGCCTGAGCCCCACTTCTGTCTTTCTTCCCAGCTGGCGTGTGTATATCTTTTCCCACCCACCCTCCTCTCTCTGGCTGTTTTCCTTCCTCCTCCTCTCCTCTCTCCTGCTCCTCCCAGTCATCTACCTGGCCTCCCACCCCATGGTCTTTCTCTCTGATTGTTTCTTTCTCTTCCTTTCTCCTCTCCCCCTTCCCTCTCTGCCCCCATCCTCTCCCCTCGGGTCCCACCCCCGGGAACGCCGTGTGTCCAAAGCTGTTGACTAACCCACTGCGTCTGTATCTGAATGCTGTCTCCAGGTCAGAGCCGGGGCTTCGCCTTCGTCGAGTTTAGTCACTTGCAGGACGCTACACGATGGATGGAAGCCAATCAGGTTGCTTTGCCGCACTTGAACCCCCCCCCCAAACAAATACTACTTTGTAATCGAGCGCTCCCCATCGCCTGATTCTTATGGACACAGTTCCCTGCCCTGTGGCCCTGTGTCCCATTCCCCCATCCCCTCTCTCTCCCCCTTCCTGACCCTCAATATCTCCTCTTTCCATCTCTCGCTACCCACTGGGAAGCCCATCAAGAGCCCACAGTCACCATCTGCCCCTCCCCTTCCAGACACCAGCTCTGCCCCTCCACCTCTCTGGGCAGAGCTTTCAGAGAAAAGACTAGAAGGAAGAGTCTTCCACCAAGGTTCCCATGCCCAGGGGGACTGTCCTGCTCCGGGGTTAGGCAGAGCCAGTACTTGGTTCCACTCTCAGGCATGGCTGGATCCAGCCACGGGGCAATGTAGCTGTTGGCATAGTCATTAGCAAGTCCCGTCTTACCAGCTCTCCCCACATGTGAGTTCAGCCCTTTGATTCCTACACAAGAGGCCAGCATTGCTCTGTTGATGTAAAGTACCAGTCAAGCGTGTTAGTTTTATTCCCCAGGACTCACTGCGGCCCCAGTCCTCCCATTGCACCTACCTGCACAGGAGTCCCCACCGGCCCTCTGCTGGGGAGCCTGCTCTCCCGGGGTGGCACGGGCTGCTCTGCCAGCAGCTTTGGGACCTTGAGAGACCCAAGGATCTGCTTGCCCACCCAGAGCCTGGCTCCCTGGTGTGTGGCACTGACACTGGTGGGAAGCATCAGGGGCAGGTGTGTCGGAAGAGGGCTCAGCAGGGCCACCCGGGGACCATCTCTGCTGGTCCCTAGGCTGATGCCGGTCCCTAGGCTAGTGCCGGACCCAGCCAGCCGCGGGGAGACAGCCTCCCAGCAGGAACTTCCATCTTTTCAATATGGCTCTTTCTTTCTCCCCTTCTCCAGCACTAGTGCGCGTATACTCTCTCTCTCTCTCTCTCTCTCTCTCTCTCTCTCTCTCTCTCTCTCACAAGTGTGGCCTCAGTGTCAGGGCCGAGTGGGGGTTTCCCCACTGTCAGGCAAGCGTCGCTCAGCCGAGCCCTGTGTGCCCGGTTGGCTTGTGTTCACGTGTGCGTGCGCGCGTGCCCTGCAAAGGCAGCAAACAGCTGCGCCCCAGGGCTGTGGCGCTTTCCCTCCCTCCTTCCCTTCCTTCTTCCCTCGTCAGTTCTCCGACCTCCCTCCGTTCCCTGTCCCTCATCCATTCAGCTGAAGGGCTCGCTCACTCTCTTCTCCTGTGCTGAAGCGGTGCTGGGGCACTGCTGCCTGCGCCTCACTCGGCTCTGCTTCTTCCTGCAGCACTCGCTCAGCATCCTGGGCCAGAAGGTGTCCATGCACTACAGCGACCCCAAGCCCAAGATCAATGAGGACTGGCTGTGTAACAAGGTACAGGGGCGGTGGGCAGCGGCGGCCGCGGACTGAAACAGCAGCAGCCATAGCGGCAACATCTCTGTCCCCCTGGGACCTCTGAGGGCTGGCTCAGCTCCAGTGGCGACAGTTCCTTGCCACTCACCCACCCACCCACCCGTAAAAAACGTGTGTACTGAGCTTTTACTCGGTGCCGGGCTCTGCCCTCATGAAGCGTGATCTTGCTGGAAGTCCCAGTAGATGGTCAACAAATACTTATGTAAACGATGAACTAGTGATAGTGGAGGCATGACATGGTGTGTAAGATGCGGACCTCAGTCCAGACTGGCTGGAATGAGACTCCCCCAGCTCCACCTGGATTCTGATCGTGGCCCTTTCCCTCTCTCTACCTCGCTTTCCCATCTCTAGCATGCGAATAGTAATGAGACATGGCCCCAAAGGTGCTTGGGCGGATTAAAATGTGATGAGAAGGTCACACTTGGAACAGCAGCTGGCCCACAGGTAGCACCGTTTGCCGTCAGCCGTTATTCTGAAGGAAGGCACAGGGTGTTCGAGAGTCCGTGTTAGGTGACCTGACCTTAAAGGCCACCGTGACAGAGCCATGTCCACCTGAGACTGGGGGCTCAGGCTGTAAGCTTTTGTAGTTCTAGTCCCAGAGAGGAAGCTGAGGTTCCAGAGAGGTGGCACTGTGGGTGAGCCCTGAGCCATGACTTGCTCCTGATTACAGGGGCCATGGGTGCAGGTCTCTCCCGGGGCCAGCCTCACAAGCAGCCCTAAGCTGTAGCTCCACCCCGCACAGCTGGGTGGCAGTCCTGAGACCGGAGGGGAGGGCAGAAGGCTTGGGGAGTCCCTGGCCCTCTCCTCAAGATGAATTCTGCCTAGGAATGGGGTTAGGCTTTTGTGTTAAAAAAAATAATAATGATGCCAGAAGGCAGGTGTCTACTGTCAGAGAGGCAGGGACAAAGCAACAGTGGAACTCCATCTCCCCCTATATTTTCACACTCCTCGAGACCAGGGAATTCTCTACTTTCCCTTTTTCGCCCCCCACACCTTGTTGGTCATCGGGTCCTGTCACTGCCATTATAGAAATACCCTCCCACCCTGGCCGGTTTGGCTCAGTGGCTAGAGCGTTGGCCTGCAGACTGAAGGGTCCCAGGTGCGATTCCGGTCAAGGGCACGCTGCAGGCTCCTCCCTGACCTGGGCCCTGGTCAGGGCGCATGCAGGAGGAAACCAATCAAAGTGTGCCTCTCACATTGCTGTTTCTCTCTGTCTCTCCCTCTCTCTCCCACTCTCCCTAAAAATCAATTGAAAAATGTCCTCAGGTGAGGATTAAAAAAAAAAAGAAAGAAAGAAAAAGAGATGCCCTCCCTGCCATTCCCACAGCACAGGCCAGTCCTCCCCTCCCCCATACAGTCACCATGGCCCCTCTCTGGTATGCTGGCGTCTTTCCTACCTTCTCACCTGTAACATTCCTCAGAACCACCTGCCCCTGACCTTCTCTGCTTAAAACCCCCATAACTCTGAGCTTCAGTAGCACCATCCTCCATAACCTAGCATCACCTTTCCTCCCCAGCCTCAGCTTTAGCCTGTCTCCTCACCGTCCTTCACCAGCTACAGCAAACCTCTGGTTTCCCCGCAAACCCACACCAAACCAGACTTCGGGTCTCCTCAGATCAGACATCCCTGCTGACCTGCCCAAGCCGAGTGAGCAGTGCCCCTCAGGGCCCTGCTGGTGCCCGGACCCACACACTCACCTGCCCCTCTGTGCTCTTGGTAGGCCCTGAGGGCAGAGGCCACATCCTGGGCATGCAGGGCAGAGCCTGGCACAAGAGCGGTGCTCAGTACCTGACCTTGGAGCAGAGAAGTGTGGCAGCTGGGGGGGGGTCTCCAGAGGCAGATTTCTCCAGAGCAGCAGGACCCAACCTAGTCCTTGAGATAAAGAAGGGATGGAAATCTGGCAAGAGAGGGACTCCTGGCTTTTAGGGAGAGTAACATCGGAGGTTTCTGAACAGGGAAGCAAGTTTGGGGAAGAGGAACCTACTAAAGCAGTGGTCGGCAAACTGCGGCTCGCGAGGACCACTGTACTAAAGGAATGGTCCTGGGAGTTGGTACCTCGGAGGAGGCAGCAGTTTCCTGGGTGGTAAAGTTGTCGATTCCTGAGCTGGATTGGCACTAGGGACAGATTTGAGACCGTGTAAAGGGGAGATTCAGAGGCCTGAGAATGACAGCCAGAGCCCCCTGCCTCCTGCTTCTGGAGCCTCCCTTCCCCGGGGCGGGCCAGGGTTCCCTGGGGGACCTATGGATCCAGGTTTGGAGGGCATAACGGGAAGCCTCCCCCACCCCCCCCGCCCCACTCTGACGGCCTGGCCTGTGCCTCACAGTGTGGCGTCCAGAACTTCAAACGCCGTGAGAAGTGCTTCAAATGCGGTGTGCCCAAGTCAGGTGAGGCCTCACACCTCCCCACTCCCAGGATGCTAGTGGGAGAGGGCAGAGGGTGGCCAGCCTTGGAGCCTCGCCTTGGTCACTACCCTGTCTCCTGCCTCCCCTGACAGAGGCAGAGCAGAAGCTGCCCCTGGGTGCCAGGCTGGATCAGCAGACGCTGCCGCTGGGTGGACGGGAGCTGAGCCAAGGCCTGCTCCCCTTGCCACAGCCCTACCAGGCCCAGGGAGTGCTGGCCTCCCAGTCCCTGTCCCAGGGCTCAGAGCCAAGCTCCGAGAACGCCAACGACAGTGAGTCAGTTGTTTGTTCCTTCTTCCTCCCTGCCCTCGGGTGTCTGGGCTGCGCTGTCCCAGGCCAGAGAGATGCTGACCAGGACTTACTAGTAGTCTTCCCAGGGGTCTCCAGCTAGTGGGGAGATAGGCAGGTGATGGGGGGAGAGCAGGGGAGGAGCATGGCCTGACTCAACTTTGGGGGTGTGTTGGGAGTTCTCGGCAGGTGAGCGACTGAGCTGGGACTTGGAACTGACAGGCATAGTTTGTCCAGGAGGAAGAAGTGAGAGGAAGCAGCAGGTGCAGAAATGTGGAGGCCAGAGGAGAGGGTGCAGTGGGAGCCTGCAAAGGGGAGGGCTGGAGCAGAGAATCAAGGGCGCCCCCTCATGCTGGGCCCCTTCCCGCAGCCATCATTTTGCGCAACCTGAACCCACACAGCACCATGGACTCCATCCTGGGGGCCCTGGCACCCTACGCAGTGCTATCCTCCTCCAACGTCCGAGTCATCAAGGACAAGCAGACGCAACTGAACCGCGGCTTCGCCTTCATCCAGCTCTCCACCATCGTGG